TATAAATAGCCGTTTGTATAGATCAGGGCCGTGTTCCTATATTTTCCGACACTGTACAACCCTTACAATTGGAACGGCTATCGTCATATAACATAAAAATTAATAATCTGCTAGTGCTATAGTTATTATTTTTGAGAACGAAGTTATTTGATGTCACTTTCAGAATATAGACAGTCTAGTGTCGTATGATAAGATGACAGTGAGAAATGAATTGGAAAGGATGTGGAAGGAAAGCGGCTGTGGCCTGCTTTAAGGTTTTATCCCGAAATTTGCCTCGGAGAGAATCGAAGAAAACTACAAAAACCTCTCAGTCAGGGTAGCCCGTCCTCGGGCCTAGATTTGAACCCGGGACCTCCCGAATACGAGCTGGCCATTCAACTACGACTTTCGTAGAAACCGAATTGGGTCCATAGCGCATCTTAAAAGTAAGAAGTTGCCATTAACCAGAGAGGCGCGTCTTTCCAGCTTCCGATGTCTTATTGGTCCAGAGGTTGTAATCTCGCACCCATTGTTCCCGAAGATTGCTGCTAGTTTATCGTTCTGAGAACAGCGACGTGTCTCGATATGGTCACGTGGTAGGCCTATATTAAAATTGCTGGTCAGTTCTTGGAAGGGCGAATTGCCCTCGTCAGTCTGTGTTGAAGCAGGGATTCTTTGTCCGTTCTTTTCATCAGAATACGAATACGAGAGAGAGAATCTCTGCGGGATTTGTTCCACATCGTATGAAAAGGCTAGTCACGATAGAGCAGGCAATGAATTAAATGGTGGCCCGAGTTAAAATGGCGGTGTCGGTATGTGACATCTTTCTTAATACCGCCACATGCAGAATTTCTCTGGAGTCCATCCAACTCCATAGTAACTGGGAATTTTCTTCACGTTCTAATGGCAGCCGAAGCGCGAAGCTAATTATCTCCGCATGTACTTGGTGATCGTGGATTGGTTATAATTAGTGGCGTTCATAATTTCGCAAATTCTTTATTAGTCTTCGGCTCAGTGTAAACTAACACTTTTCAATTATGCGTATTGATATTTAGTCTCGACACTATGTAGTCTGATCTGCTTACAGCGTCGTTACGTAAACAACAAATATATGGATACATATTCATCGTCCTGATGATGGAGGCAATAATTACCTCTGAAACGTCGGTAAACTTCTACCAGACAACGCGGCGCAACAACAGAAGACAGGCTCCTTCAACATAATTGTGGGGAACAATTTATAAGTGGTGAATGGAAAATAATATCTGCAGCTGTATTCTCCTTCACAGAAGAGAAATGTATTTTGCAGTGTTGCCACCCCTCCCCCGCTTTCTACCCCGTCCCACTCCGCGAAAGTTCCTCGTATCCGCCTCTTTAAGATGTACAGTGTCTTTCATGGCGATCTGAATTGATTAATAAGGTCATCAGAATCTGCAACAAGAAGATGAATTATTGATTAAATTCGAAACATAGCTGCTTTCTGGCTTTCTTTCGTGTGCTGTTCAGAGATGAAAGTTGACAACCATAATTGTGTCAGTCGTCGGGGCGATGTGTTCGAACAGAACATGCGCGTTGTAATTCAGACTGCCCTACTTTATTTAAATCTAGCAAGCAGACGATTCTGCTGACGAGTTCTTAACATACTCTATTGAAATCACCTTAAATTATAGTTAATTAGGAGCTTCAGTAACTGAACATTCAGTTCCTACCGCATTGAGAACACAACACGTCTGTATTACAAGAATCAGCAGGTCATTACTGTTAAGGATATAATCACTGAGAGTCATGCGAAAATGACGTAGGACGATATACTCTGTGGCCAAAAAGAGGGTTCTTGAATGTTAAATTAGGTGGTACATATTCATACCACTAGGCTTCAAACAAAAAGAGGGTTCTTGAATGTTAAAGTAGGAGGTACATATTCATACCACTAGGCTTCAAAGGGTTAATACAGTGTTTCAGCTTCAGAACTTTTTGAAATGATGGTAAAATTCCAAAATGTTATTATATCCAAACCGATCAAATGAAAAGTGTACACAGCAGATGCGTTCGGCATGAAAGAATTATAAAAGACGTGTAATAAAATTATATACAAACTGTAAAGACTTTTGTGATGCGTACCATAAAGTCGCGTTCTAATTATATTTATTTAGTGTACTGTCTGACGACAGGTCCATATGAACAGGATCCTTCCATCCTTTTCTCGGACTGGGACCTGTTCATATACGTTCTTGGCAGATGATCCAGAAGTGGTTTGCCATTGCCTTCTTCTGTGTGTGAATGGAGTAATTGTTGGGATGCCACGGAGGAAAACTCCGTGTTGCCTAGACCACGGCCTTGCCCAACACAAGTTATAAATTCGGGCACCGCCGGGAATCGAACCCGAGACCCCAGGATTACAAGGTCAGCGTTCTAACCGCTAGACCACCGTGATGGAGACGTTCTAATAGAACACTAAATTAACAGAATAACAAATCTGATTTCAATGCTTTCCAAACTGAATCAACAAGACGTTTTAATTGTTTCGAGCATCTGCTAAGACAGTTGAAGCGTTTTTTTCACGTAGAATTCCTTATTGTGATTAAGATTATGCCCTTATATAGAGTGGTCGATAAAACTGCCAGATTTAAACGCAAATCGTAATTGGTCGACAGTTGTTTGTAAAATTCTTCAGCAAGTCAAGGTTTAAGGAAAGTCGTGATATTCATTCTCTTGTTGTTCCGTGCATGCGGACAGACGGACGGAGCGATTTTAATAGGCGCTATGCAGGTTTTAAACGCTCCTAAAACGAACCTGATCACCGTCTAAACGCCCACGTTATAATCAGAAAGCAGCAACGCGTATTCTAGTCTGTACGTACGCCCGTCGTAAGTGGGTTGAGCACATCACCCACAGCTTTAACCATAAGAAAGCAATACCTTTCACCTTGACAGAGCGTGTGGGCCTTGTAAGCTACTACGTAATAATCTTATATATTGACAATATTTGAGGTTTTCACGGCGACAACTAAAACGATGTTTGTTTGATGGGATGTTAGGCCGTGTAGACTGGCAGAAACCGACCAAGAGGAGAATCATGCTGTCTCCATCTTCAGGGCTGAAGATGGAGACAGCGTGCTTCCTTTAAACGCTGACATCTACTGACGAGTTTACACGGCGCCAGAACCCAGAGGAACATCATCAACTGCCTTACATGTTCACCGAGATGCATAAACGCCATCTCCACTAACGTCACGGGAAATATGATGTCTTGTACTTTCATATTTTTATAATATAATTTTATTTTACCTGTTTTATTCTACTCTGGTACATGATATATTTTATTACGGGAAGACAGTAAATTGCGAAATGGTTGTAATTTTCACTCTTATCCTTGCAGTTAAATTAAGTATATTACAGTGGTCTGGGGATGTAGCCTAACATTTGACGGAGAATCAGTTAAATTAATTATATTACAGTTGTCTAGGGATGTAGCCTAACATTTGACGGAGAAACAAGAAAGACGTACAGAATATTTTGTCGGTAATTCTTTTTGGCGGCGCCAGTTTCAATCTTGACGTGATTAATGAACAATATTGAAAACGTAAGATTTGAGGTCTTCTGGGTTGTAGCTGTATTAATGTAAAGTGCTGTTGGTTTCATTAAACTGGCTTGTAGTAAGTTCTTGTTGTGTAGCAGGGAGCCTATTTCTTAAGATCTTTGCTTTTCTGGGTCTTTGTGTTCGTGCCCCGGTAGTTGCCAAGGTCCCGCTGTTCATTTCCTTGTGTTCAGTTAACATAATAGCATGACGCCACAGTCCGTGAGTGGCTTTCACACTATCTCTGCTAATCCATCATTGTGTCGCGTAATTAACGTGTGATATTTTACAGTCGCTGATCTTACATCATCTTGTAAGCAAGGCGGTGAGTATCGGCTACTAAGTAACTGATTGGTCACGGGATTGGACTTCCTGGTTTTGTACTTTTTGATTTTTCTTTTCGCCAACGCTGCCTGCCCAGGAGTTACGTGGTACGGAGGCAGATACCCATTTTTTTTTGTCTACGTGCTCAATGTGATAACACCGCAGTTGCTGCTAAACGTCGTAGACCAGCGGTTTTCAACCTTTTTTTAGACCTGAAGTCGTATTAACCGTTTCTTATCTTCTCTAGAGCCTCAGGATTATAAATGAGGGCGGTTTATTTCGACGTCATGACAATTTATTGAAAATGCAAATAAATTGGGCCCTTTGTTACAAACAGGTCGACATATTACTGAGTCATATTCTTTAACAATATCAGTCATTAATGATATATTTGGGACTGCTTTTTAGTAATCCATCAGTATCAGGCCCAATTTCTGTCATTTCGAATCGCGTCTTTTCCTTTTAAGTAGTAAGTAAGACGCGGACTGGTTCTTGATTAGACGTTCTTCACTCAGCTGTACAATTGTTGACAGCGATATTATGCACCATACTGTTGTTATTAACAATTTTAAGCCCCAAAGAAAGCACAATTCATCTCTATTAATAGGATGAGTTGGTTAGTGTTGTTCAAAACCCCTGTCGTAGGCCGTATTGTGTGGTGCTGGTGTATGGTGGTGCCTCAATTATAGTGCAAACAGGTTTAGAATATCCTGTTTATCTTGTGGAAGACCAGAGAATTTGCAGAGCAGTTACACGTCAACTCTCATGGTCACAGAATAAACATTACGCATATCTCCGAATAGTTTGAAGAGTATCATCTGCTTTATGAGTTAAATTATCTGAGATGTGATGTTCTTACGACGTCGGTGAAGAGGTAATTTGTGACCTTTCAGCTTGCCCCGCCCTAAGGACGGCCTTACCTTCCACCGCCATGTTTTCATAGTGTAATATTTAACATTAACGTTTAAACCGCTTTAATGTCGATGTAATAATAAAGTATTTACTGTTTCTGTGTCTGAATGTTTTCGGTATTCCGTAACAGATACGAATAATAACTGATGAATGCTGTTTATCGTACAGACGTGACGGGAAAAGATGCCATAGGTTATAAATGAATTATAGGTTGTATAAAATGGTTTATTTGGAAGCCTAGTTAAATACAGGCACAGTATTCATTGGTTCTGAAAGAATATTTGAGTTGCCTTAACATACATACAGCTACATTCACTCACCCACTCAACACCTCAAGGAATTAATTTAAAATTAAAATATAATAATAGAAGACAGACCATACTGCGGTGTTCCTGTGTGTATATATGAATATATTACATATCAAATATAATGACCACTTTTCTTGAACACCCTATGTTTCACGTACATCTCATGAGATTTCTGTAATGGGGATTCGTGGGTAGCTGACCTGTAAAATATCTATATATGACGCCTAATTATATCTGATAGAAAGGAGGAAGATTAAAACATCTTCATGGATTTAGGTAAATGTTTAAACTAATGTCAGCTGTCAGCCTGAAATTCGTGCACAGACACGCTTATGAGTGAGAGGGGAAGCCAAACAATGAACAGTGGCCGTTTATGAGCTGGCTGTTACTGCCCCTTTGACGCCTTCTTTTTCCTCTGACTGTTTGTTGTCTTCTGCGGGTTCAGGGTTCTTATTAACAACCTCGGCATTTGTCGTTGCGGGCACATTTTCTTGTTCTTGTTTCTCGACAGCAGAGTCAGCAGAAGCCGCGTCGCTAGTTACGCCCTTCTTCTGTTCAACTACAGACGCCACGGCCACGGCCACCTCAGTCTTCCTGTCGTCTACTTGAACTGCTTCATCGGCCGTTTTCTCAGCGTCTTTCGCCACAGCTTCTGGCACGATCTTCGTTTCCTGTTGTTTGCTTTCCCCGACTTTCTCAGCCTTTTCCACCTCAGTTAATTGGATCTTCTTCTCTTCGTTTCCTTCGACGTTCTTGTTTTCGTCGATTTGAGCTGGTATTTCTGCATTGTCAGAGCTGGCCTCAGGCTGTGGAGATAGGACAGGGGCGACATCAAGACCGACTGGTTTATTCTCTTCATTCACAGGTACTTCCGGTTTCACATCAGGAATATCGCTGGGTTTGAGAAGTTCAACGGGCTTGATTTCAGACGCAGCTCCCTCGGGGTTTGGGTCATCGATCTTAGGAGCTTCATCTTCTTGAACCTGCGCATCCTCTAGTATGACTTCTACGATCTTTACTGGAGTATCATCGGCTTTGACCTTTTTCTCATCTTTCTCCTTCTTCGTCACTTCAGTGGGCTTCTTCTTTTCGTCCTCCTTGCCATCTGTTGAACGTTTCCTTCGACTCGTAACAGGGGTTTCCTGTGCTTCTCCCTTTATCGGCTCGTCGACCTTCAGAGACTCCTTGACTTCCTCGTTAGCAATTGGTTGTTCCACTTTGTCCAGGGGTTTTTCTGTCACTGGACCTTGAATTTCAGCGGCCGGTGATTCGGATTCATCTGGCTTGATCTCCTCGGTCTTCACTTTCTTATCGTCGATCTGCTGTTCCTTGGTTTCCTCTGCAGGTTTTATATCGGAAGAACTGCTTTCATCAGCTTTCTCGTCGTTCTTAGGAACGTTCAGTGCGACAGGTGCAGGTGGCTTGATCTCGTCAGAAACTTTCTTTTCTGGTATCACGACAGGCGCATCTTGTGAACTGCTCGCCTCAGCCTCTGCATTGTCTTCCTTCTTCTCTGACACAACACCTGTCTGTTCAGGAACCTTGTCCTTTTCCGAAGGAACTTCTGCCGGTTTGCTGTCGCTGCTCACGGCCTCTTGGTTGTCTGAGGCTGGTGCTGCTGGCTTTTCTGCTGAAGCGTCATTGGCTGGATTAGTGTTGTCGACAGGAAGAGCCGGTGACGTTTCTGGTTTGTCCTCAGACGCTGCCGGCTTCTCTTCAGGCTTCAGTTCGTCTTCCTTGATTACCGGCTCTTTGGGGGCTACCAGTGGGGTGTCATCAGGAGTGTTCTTACTGGCAACTGACGAGTAGTCCGTGATTACAAGTGGCACCACGGACCGAGGATGGTCATGCTCCACTCCTACCGGCATGGACAGGGCGCTGCCCATCAGGGCCAGTGTCAGGACAAACAGCTTCATTCTGAAACAGTGACAAAGTAAAACTGAGACCTCATGCCTAACCTCTGCTTCACGAAGGCGAAGAGTAGCCTATCTCATACAGGCACGCATGAAAAAGTTGAATGCAGGCACAGTATTCGTTGGGTCTGGAAGATTGCCTTCACGCTCCGGCCGCTCTGGTTCCGGGGATATGGCCTCCAGCGGCCATTGGACAAGGGGATGGATGAACCTATATCCAGTCTGGAAGTGATGGAAGTAGAAATCTGTATCCGTGCCGGATTCGAGGAGCCTTGTTATTCTAGCCATTAAGCAGCCACTTTACAAATTGTATTGTCTCGTCTCTACTAGTCTTTTACCATGCGCATCGAAGCGAAAAGTGTTTTCGAACAAAAGTTGTTCAGTGACTGAAACACATAATTCAAGCCAATACACTTTTTTCACTTTTGTGATTCTCTAAACAGTTAAAGTTATTTTCATGCTGCTTAATTTTGTAACACAAGAGAATCGTTGGAAATTGATTTTGATTAAATTTCATATTGAAGGTCCTTGGTTATCCGGCCTGCTAAATTTACACTATTTGTGATATCAATCAAGGTTAGTAATCTTCAATTGAAAATGTAGTCAGTGAGAGTGCGAAGGTTCCAGACTTGTTACGTGAGATCCTCGGTCTAACAAGTGAACTATCATCCGCTTTCACTGTCGTTTGAAGAAACGCACTTGCGTGGCTGTCTGTAAAGCCCGTGTTTTGTTCTCAATGCTGGACAGACTGCAGCATCCGTCGCTTGACTCTGTACTTTCATGGCCACCGAGTTGCTCTGCTTGTTTCGTGTGCTTCCCCCCCCCTCCTCCTCCCCCAGTCGAC